GCGGAGGGGTGTATGGATACTTGATCCGCCCCAAGGTTTAGTCTTGAGAGCTCGATCCCCAAAGTATCCAAAACTAGAATCACATCCACTTCAGGACGGGCCGAAGACCTAATTTCATCTGGCATCACAAGTCCGGCTCGATGACGGATCAGGGACCAAGGTGGAACTCCACATCGTGAGTTCCGTTATCGACACATCCACCACGCATGCTTCTGCCGCAGAACGTCACCACACGTTTGCTGTTGGCTTTTGTCGATTGTCGTAGATCATAAACTTCCTTCATATAACGGTGTCCCATCTTATTTTTCTATTTTATTTTCTTTGCGAGCCACCGAATAATCTGCAAAACTTCTCTCATCCTCGCTATATCGCAGATCCGAAAGAACAAAAGTAAAGGCAATAAAGAAAAGCCAGAAGAAGCAGCGGCTTAGGCTATAAGGCCGAGGGTTAACAGGCAGGGATCTACACCTACACCTCTCTCACCACTCCCCCGCATCAACACCGACTGGGGAAAACAAGGTCTCAGCTAGGCGACGGCCTGGCAGAAATAAACACATACAGAGCGATCAGGGCTCATGTTTTTGATGGGCATTTGAGCCATTTCATCGAGTCAACTCTCCTTTGCATCACAGGCTTCGTTTTCTTGATTTCTGTTTTCAAAATCACTCCGTGGACAAAGACCATGTCGACTTCAAACCCAATAAGCGGGATCGATAGCGTTGACTTGGGCTGGATGCAATTTCATACGAAAGGTCAGGCCCCCCCCCCCCCAATAACAGCATCTTTGGAAGGCTACTACCTCGACCTTCGAGACAAGGGAATGCGAATATTGCGGCTGTTCGGCAGGAAACAATGCGCATCATAGCTAACAATTGTAACCGGTTGATAGATCATCGAAATCGGTCACAGTCAGTAAGCCCGCCAGCTTCTCCAAGTGCTCGTTCTCCATCCAATTCAACACACAGCGGTGATGGTATCCCCCAAGCTTCTGCACCTCAGCCTCTACCCACTCATCACAATCCCTCACAACCGCATACGACAGCTTCTGCATCATTAACCAATGGTACTCCCACTCCAGTAATAACGTCACCAATACGAAGGAGTTCATGGTTATCAAGCATCTCCTCAAAATTCGCCTCAAACACACATAACGGCGAGACCCCAGCTTCACCAACAACCGAGGCACCTCTAAAGCAACACCCTGGGTTTCTCATTGCAACATTACGGAAGTTATCTTCCTCAAGTGTTCCAGGAAGGGGATCCTTAGGAAAGATTCAGGGCAATGGAGGGAGATGTGAGCGAGTGGTTATGAATAAAAATCATACTCGGGATCGGTGTCAGATATCAGAGCTTGATGGTGTCCGGCTAAAGAAGGTTGCCTTCTGCGTCGATGTGGAGGTTTCAGTTCCACCACTTCTGCCCAAGGATGATGAACATTCCATGAAAATTATCACGAGCGCAGCGCCCGAGGTACAAACATCAGAGAAGGGTGTTCCCAGTGGTGCTAGAAGGAAGGATTCCAATATGCCGGAAGAAACACAAAAGAATAGCTCCGAAGAGAAATCGGAAATAAATCCTAGGGATGAAAACTCGACGATCAAGTTGAATGGAGCTGAGGGAATTGAGAATACGGAAGGGGCGGGTAAAGAAATACGGCCCTCTGTTCAGATTAACGACAGTAAGGCTACTAATTTACCCGCAACCACATCCAATTTACAACCAACCCCTTCTCCTACAGGTCTTAACCAAGTTATCACTAGCCAGTTGAAGCCTGATAATACGGCGCCTCGGCCACGCCGAAGGCCGACTACGGATGTTGCTCGTATCTATAAGAGATGTTGCCAACTGCGGGAAATTCCAATGTTGCCGTTGATTGCTAGACAACTTGCGGACTCTATTGGAAAAACTTCTCTCGACTCCCTTGATTTATCCAACCATCCATTACAGTTATGTGACGCACTTGTACTATCGGATTTCCTAGCGCTGGCGCCTGTCACAAAGTTGGATCTTGAGAATTGTGGGCTCACCGACGAAGCATTAAGAGTAATATTGTCTGGCCTACTTGCCGTCAAGCAACCTATCCCAAAATCTTCGCACAGGGTTAAGAAAGAAGATGATCTCAAGAGGACTGCTTCAGGCGGTTCATCCGAAAGTCAATTGAGTCGTGCGAACCAGGAGAAAGATGTGCCAAGGTGTAGAGGGATGGTTGAATGGCTTTCCCTCAGAAACAATCCGAAAATAGGGCGTGATGGATGGCGTTACGTCAGCTTGTTTCTACACATGTCTCGTTCCTTGAAGGCTCTTGATGTATCGATGATTCAATTACCACAGGTGTCAAAGCGGCCAATACCATCAGCTGTATTTCATCCATCCGATGCCACAGCCCTATTTTGTAGAGCTCTCCGCGAAAGATTGGCAGGTGTAGGACTACAAGAGTTAGCACTGAATCGATGTGATATAAGTACGGAGCAGCTACGGGGCATTGTTGAAGCAGTGCATAAGGGAGGAACAAAAAGACTGGATTTGGAAGGAAATCACATTTCAGATGACGGTCTCATTTACCTTGCACAATGGGTTAGGGACGGGAACTGTGAGGGTCTCAGTCTGTCTAGTAATGATCTTCAGGTGTGTCTTTTGAGCCTTCATGTACTGAGCCCTCTCGCTCTAACATATTCTTTAAGGAACACATAGATATTCTTGCCGCCTCATTGCATGAGAAGTCACCTCTTCAAGCCCTTGGGCTTGCTAATTGCAATTTGAGTGCTAGGTCGTTATCTAGTTTACTTCCAGCACTCACTGTATTGCGAAACTTCCGGTTGCTCGATCTCTCTCACAACCCACTCCTATTCTCTACACAGCCAGGCGCTCTTCCAATTCTACGGAAGTACCTTCCACAGCTTCCAATGCTAAAGAAGTTACAGCTGGCACATACCTTCATGACTCCAGACCATGCTATTGCTCTAAGCGAAATTTTGCCAGAGATAAAGTCCCTGGCACACTTTGATGCACTGGACAATCCGATGCTGGTACCGGGTGTTACTAACCAAGATGCTCTAGGTTTGCCTGATGTGGTGAACAGAGAAGGTAGTCTTGAAGAAGGGGCAGCACTATATACTGCTCTGCTAGCAGCTGTTAAGGTGTCTAGGACAATAGTCAGGATGGATATTGACGATCCAGGTCTGGGCTCTGGGGAGGTCATTAGGGCTCTAGCAAGAAAAGTTGTAGCGTTCTGTTTGAGAAATATGGAGAATGCCGAGCTTTATAATGACAATCCAAGTGCAGAGCCCGTCGAGCACATTGATACAGATGATGAAGAGACCTACCCAGGTGATGGAGAAAAGGATGACTTAGTTGTTGGAGGAACTGGTGTGGTGAAGGTTGGTCTCATCTCCACACTGTTTTCTAAGAAAATCAGAGCTAAATTAGCTCCTGTCAGGCCCTAGGTGTATGCCTGGGCAATAAACCCTATACCAACAAATCACCTCTCTCTCCGGGGCTTGAGGGGCCAACACAAGAAGGTCACTTTGGGAGAGCTTATGACATGTCCAAGGCCCTTCTCTTTCGAGCACGGAAAATCAAGGAGCGGATACAGCCTGCGCTTCAGAAAGCTGCTCGGGGAGAGGTGGATGAGATACATTACCGTATGTACACGGATAGCATCTCTACAATTATAGGGTATACTGACATAATTTCCAGGAAAATTGCTCTTTCTGGATGATACACTATTCCATGTCATCGCCCGTTTCGAGGAAGAGTACCCTGACTGCCGATTAGCTCCATCTTCACTCACAAAATCCCCCTCTCCCACCACTGCTTCCGGACTCCTCGCTATCCCCAGTCATGGGGAGGTCCCCACTCCTCAATCCCCATCGTCAGATAAATCACCCTCGAACCATTTGCCACCCATTGGCATTGACATTGACGATAATGACGAAACCCGCATTAAAACACCATCTATTTCCCGCCAGCCATCTAACTCGTCTCTCCACTCACGGCGGGCACTTGATGCGGAGGAAGGCCAAATGCATAAGCTAGCAATGTTCGTGCAGAAGCAGATTTTTGAGAAGCAAATGCCAAAGTTATCAGAGGCAGGTACGAGCGATATATGCGCTTCAGAAACTTCCGGTAAAGAAGAGGGAGAAGATGGCCATGCCGAGCCACCACATATTCGAAAAATCAAGATGTTGATGGAGGGTATGAATGGGGAGGATATCAGGCAAAAAGTAACTGAGGAAGGGGGCGCATTGGGCCTGATCAAAAAGTTGGAGGGCGCATTGAGTAGGGATATGGACGAAGCTTTGAAACAGGAGCAGGAAGCTATGTTGATGTCAGCGGACTAACGAGGTGGAAAGCAGGCAGCGGTGGAGATAACTAACGGAGAGTACTTTCATTGCAAGTGCATGTATGTTGTGCGTACGCGTGGTTGATTGTCAATCACTGTTGCGTCTCTGTTCTAGCAGCTAGCCCACCAAGCTCCTTATGTTTTACCCTCATTTACACTCATCCTGAAGCTAACCCAGAAACCCTGGTAGATTTCTCGAATCAGCTTCACGTTCGTCTGCCAGTTCCCCAACTTTACCTTACCTTTCCCTTAACTCATTTCCTAATATTTAATTATCTCCTATCGTTTTTATCCTCAATTCCAGCAATTCTTTTGGTCGGTGTTATGGGGGTCATGATGAGATATGAAGTGGGGGACAGGTCTATATTTAGCGAAGCGTACTTATTGCCGTACTATGGCTTTTTATTATATTAATTACTTTTTGTGGAGCTCTACTAGTGAGAGGCTTTGCCACATGCGTATATCTTTCTTTTGTTTTCTGTGGTGTTATAGTTGTGGTATGATTTCTTGGTTCTTATGAAGTTCTTTTACGTTTGCTTTGAGAGCTATGTACAATAGTTCCAAGAGGAATAAGTTAAGTTCCCTTGAAGGGAACTTAACTGAGGGAGTAGTTAGCTCCGAACCAGAATACTTGTTTTTTTAAAAAAAAAAAGGGTGGCGACCACACCAGGAGTCGAACCTGGAATCTCTTGATGTCGGATTGGAGTCGTAGTCAAGCGCCTTGACCATTGGGCCATGCGGCCGGTGATAAATATACATCACATTATTTAGTATATAAACCTCAAATGGTACTCTGTATAGTGAGGACGAGTCAAGTGAATATTAACAGTTCTAAGTCCATTAACACAACAACTTAAAATAATCCCATGCATGAAAGAGAGTCAACTATAGCATGGTACCAAGATTTACTACAGGTTGTAAGCTTTTGCAGATATTTATGGAAGTGGGGGAACCAACCATGGACGGCCTTCACATTCGTATATGCAGATAGCGCATACTCTCCGAGTTCTTGTCTACCTAAAGATTATAATCGTGAAACTTTAAGGACTCTAGATAGAGGTGCTTACCCTATACCACTTTGCTTGACACCACTAAAGGCGGAGGTTAATGCATTACCCCACAAATGGCTATTCTGGTCTGTTGTGGTTGAAACTTACCCAAAAGGAATGCCGAAGTGACTGTCATTGCTACTATTTATCTGAACGAGAGTTAACGTGGCTGTGTATTGACAATGAACGAGACACCTACCCAAACCATACCCGCCTGTATTTTAGCTGCAACTTTATGTGCCCTCGTCATATTTTGTGTGAAAATAGCAGCGCCCAAGCCATAGTTAGAATTGTTTGCTCTCTTCACTGCTTCCTCTTCAGATTTGAAGGATGCAATGGTTACGACTGGGCCAAAGACCTCTTCTCTGCTAATTATCATATGATCTTCAACGTTTATGAAGATAGTGGGCGCAATGAAATATCCCTTATCGCCGTGCTTGGTACCACCGATAACCAGCTTTGCTCCTTCGCTCTGCCCAGATGCAATGTATGCCATAACCCTTTCCCATTGCTTCCTACTTATCTGTGGGCCTTGGAAAGTATTTTCGGCAAAGGGATCACCAATTTGGGAAATCTTTTTGGTTTGCATTTTGAATGCGTCAATAAACCTCTCATATATACTCTCCTGTACGAAGATCCGAGATGTCGCAGTGCAGATTTGGCCCATATTGCCTACGATATTGAGGTCAATAGTCATTCAAAACAGGGAGGGTTTATATTATTCTCTACTCATAATTCCGATATGACTCCACTTCACAGCTTGATCCAAGTCCGCATCATCAAAGACAATCAGGGGACTTTTGCCACCAGTTTCGAGTGTGCTAGGATAGTTAGTAGCATTCTTTCTATTGTGAAGAATCATGAACATACACGTTCGTTAGATTTGCACTAGCAGCCTTCATTACAAGGGTCCCAGTGGTAGTGGAACCCGTGAAGGCTATTTTATCAATACCAGGATGACTAGCAATAGCCGCACCTGCCCTATCTCCATAGCCGGGGAGAATATTCACAACACCAGGAGGGAAGCCAGATTCCTTTACGAGATTGGCAAGGTAAAGGGCAGACAGTGGGCACTGTTCTGCCGGTTTGAGGATTACCGTATTTCCCTGACAACAATGAGATGAGCTTCGTGGCTAGTAGTCAGAAGTGGAGCGCCTAACCGTAGCCAATGCTGGCCCTAATTTCCAGGAAGCCATCTAATATAGAGGATTAGAATGGAACAAGTAGTTATATAACTGTAATAGTCAGGTGGCAAGCTTTTGGCCTGCATCACAACAGGGGAATTTCGGGGGTCCAGGGGCCTTTTACCATCTGTGACAAACATTTTAGTGAACAAATTCAAGTTCGGGGTAATATACCTTACCAACGGGTAGTTCCAGCTTTTACATACGAACAGTCAGTAAAACTGCCTTCAATTCCCCTGGGGAAATTAGAACATACGGAATTATTTGGCCACAGACGCCAATGGGTTGATGTAGGGTATATGCGAGCTTCCTTGGACCAACGTCAATAGTTCTCCCATAAATTTTATCTGCCCATCCGGCGTAATATCTGTATTTGAGCCCTTAGAATATTTGGTAGTGCGTTGCCGATGCCCTATGAAGGTTTCCTACCTCAATACTCTAATAGATTCGAGTACATCCTCTGCAAGACAGACATTGTACGGTTTGCCATTATCCCTATAGGTCATTGCTGTGAGTATCACAATGCATTTGACGAGGCGTAAAGTTGTGAGCTACCAAGTATCTGCACTACAATGTCAGTGCTCAACCGGGTAAGGTCTGCACAGGGACAGTACCGATTGTAGCGAGTACCTTGGAATTTTCCTCTATCAAATCTGCTAATTTATAGAGCAGCCTGCCACGGGCTTCTGGTGTCAACTCTGACCATGTGGGGCTTTCGAATGCAGCTCTTGCGGCGTCCACTGCAGTGTCTACATCTGCCACATCTGCGGCATAGACAGAAGTGATTTCTTCCTCATTTGTGGGATTGATGGTGGCCAATATGTCCCCAGATTTGCTTCTCACAAACGTATTATCGATAAAGAGTCCAAGGGGCTGTGTATACCTAACGGTAATGTTAGACCGAAATTGAAGGACACAGCTGCACCTTACTTCACGCCATTGGGGGCTGTCAGTTCCCTTGCTAGGGGCAATGCTAAGGTTGATTCCATACGGTATAACTGGGGATAGAACTTGTTACAAACAAGCCTCTTCTGTAAACGACAAAAATAGACTCTGGAGATCAATGTTGCTGGAGAGAATACAATAGAGTGCAGGGCACGAGGTCTTATGCGCCAGAGCATTGGGAAATGACGCCAGCCAAAAGCTTCAGTCATTATTGCCGAGATATCTTAACTCTGCTACATTATTAGAGATATTGCCATAACTACCACCGGTTAGTCTGGTTGGCACAACACCCTCCACAGCTCTAATCTAATACCGGTCTACCAAGTGTAGGCTTAGTCTTGTTGCACTACTGTGGAGCAACCAAACTAGTGTAGGCTTCCATGAACAGTAGCTAAGCTCCAGCATACAGCCCAAAGCATGAAGCTACATACATATACATATGCAATAGAGCGCACGATGTGGTATGCATTTATAATATAATACCTTTTAAATTTAAATTTGAAAAAGTACTCCGTATTATACCCCGCAATCGGATTATTTATAATACCTAACTCTACGGTATTTAATGTAGATGAATACGGAGTAGAATGATTATCATGAGCAACCAGACTACCCTTGCTGGACCAGCACTGCCCGCCCCACCTTGCAGCATAGCACGTGATATATGGAACTGTAGACCGCGAGAACATAAATGCATAACTATGAAAACAACTACGCTCTACAACATGGTTACCCTCACACCCTGCCATATTCGACCCAATACCCCTATACCGCATCTACTGGTGTATAACGATCCTTGTCAGTTTAAAGACATAGGTCGAGCTTATGCAGTAAAGGTGATAAAATAGGTGGATGGTAACAAGCTCACTGAGGTATAATGGTCCCTGTCAGTTAAACTGACAAGGATCGTTGTTCGCCAGTGGATGCGGTACCCGCTTCCGCAATATGATACCCGACCAACCCCCCCCACCGCCTCCTATAAGGTGAGTATCATGCGGGTGAACCCATGACCACGAGAGGGCCTTTACCTAGCACCTATATTTCATGATAAAACAGCTTCTAGGGCAGCAACCAACAATACAGGAGAACTGATCAATCCGCTGCAATACTCTCTTCCCAAGCGTCCTCAGCCACCACAAAAAGGTCTCCAATAGCTCTGGGAGTTCTTATACACCCCCTTTGGGCTTCATGGGTGGCTTCCATCTAGGAGGTTTTGCCACCCTCCTCCGAGGCTATTTCAACCCCCTTACAGCAACCAACAGCAATCCTACGCTCACGAGTCCAACCGCTCTAAATTCCCCAACATCTAATCTAGCGCGTCTTGCATAGGATCTAGCCTAGCGTTCAACCTAGCGTCTAACAACGTAGCGTCCAACCTAGTGCCCAACCTAGTGTCCAACCCAGTGCTCTCAACACCCTGCGCTGGTATCGATAATGCTGGGGGGGAGTGCGTGGTGTGTAAAGTGGTTTAAAATGCCTCGAGAAAGGCCAGCATACTGCCATGGCCACAGCGACCACTAGAGTCCAAAATGGGGGGTTATTGGAGCTCAGAGCGATTAGCAACCTCTACGGGGTGCTGAAAATGCTCGAGAGGAGAGTTCAACTCGGGGGGATTGAGGAGGGTATAGATGGAGTGGATTTTGCTGATTGAATAGAGCTCTCGGAACTTGCTTAGTGCGCCGAGTTGAGATCCTGCAATTTGGTGATTTTGCACGCTCCATCTTCAGCACTGATTTGCCATGGATATAAGCGGTTTTGGGCCTATTCGTACAATATAAGGCCAATAGAGGGAGTAGAAGAGGGGGGGTAGTTAATTGGAGGGGGGAGATTCTTGAAGGGGGGTATTAGAGCTCCAGCGCTATTAGATACCTTTCCGTGGTGTCTAAGGATGCTTGGGAAGAGAGTATTGCAGCGGATTGAGGTATTTGGGGGGGGGGGGGGGGGGGGAGAATAGCATAAATCAAGGAATTTATTTAATTCTGAAAATAGCTCAGTTTGCAGCGGTGAGCGGCTTGTTTTGATAGCTGACAGTTCTCCTGTATTGTTGGTTGCTGCCCTAGAAGCTGTTTTATCATGAATATAGGTGCTAGGTAAAGGCCCTCTCGTGGTCATGGGTTCACCCGCATGATACTCACCTTATAGGAGGCGGTGGGGGGGGGAAGGCGGGTATAGGGGTATTGAGTCGAATATGGCGGGGTGTGAGGGTAACCATGTTGTAGAGCGTAGTTGTTTTCATAGTTATGCATTTATGTACAATAGAATTCTCGCGGTCTACAGTTCCATATATCACGTGCTATGTTGCAGGGGCGGGCGGGGGCTGGACACTAGACGGTGATTGGACACTTCCGGTCGAGCAAGGGTATATCACTACTAGCGTAAATTACTTGTTAAATAGTTTTACTATGTAAGTTTTCTTTTTCAAAAAGTCCAGTAACCGGCAGTCGACCTTTAAGGAGCCTAACTATTACCTAATTATATTCCAATTACTTCAGTGTGTGTGCACCGAATTCATTTGACCCGCTTATCTTTATTGATGGTGTCAAGTTTAGGCTAAATCTGGCCCAG